CAAAATGGACAACAGTGAACTGGAGAGAACATGAGAGCTTGCCACCGCAAAGCAAATAATGACTAGTTCTCCTACTTCTAAGCTTACGTAGAGCAATTTTTTTTAAAATTGTGTTGTTTTTTTAACAATGCTAAGAATTGAACCCAAGACCTCACAAATGCCAGGCAAGCACTATCCCCATGCCACACCTCAGCCAAGAAAATACTCTTCACTCATAGTTTCATGGTACTCAAGATACTCTTGGGTTGAGTCTCTTGGGATGGCCCGGCACCGGGGGCTCACACCTGTAATCCTAGCTACTCAGGAGGCTGCGATCTGAGGATTCTGGTTCAAAGCCAGCCCAGGGAAGAAACTCCATGAAACTCTCATTTCCAATTAACTACCAAGACACCGGAAGTGGCACTGTGGCTCAAGTGGTAGAGGGCTGGCCTTGCGCTGAAGAGCTCAGGGACAGTGCCCAGGCCCAGAGTTCACGCCTCACGACCAACAAAACAAAACAAATTCTCCTGGGATGGCAAAATGATCAAATACTGTGAGTCCTCATTTTGATCACCAGGGCCAGTTGTACTATGCTGAGGTAAATTCTATGCTGTATGAACCAAGGAAAAGCTAGTGCTAGCTGCCAACCCTCAATCAGCAAGAACACTTGCCTTGCTTGTTTAGGCTTACATAAGGAAGCTCCAAGTTAAAATATGACAGCCATCGTCACATCGCCACACGGATGATGTGGCTTTGCTTCCACCCTTCCAATATTTACATCCTGTCTGCAGCAGCTTTAGTTCTCCACCAGAACATCTCCTAAACTGGGAAAAAGAAACATCTCCTTTGCCCTGAGAGGACAGTTTGGGAGAATTCCTCTTGTCTGAACACAGAGGTTCTCAGTGAAAGATGAGAAAGATGCTAGCCAAGTACGGCCAGTCAGTTAGTAGATGGGTTTAGGGCTTGGCTGTGGATCAGGCTGCAGGGCTCAACTCTCTTCTCAGGGTGGATGTGGTAGGGCACACTTGTAATCTCAGCTACTCAGGTGGTGTCGCACACTGAGTGGTGAGACAAAGCCTGGGAAAATCATGAGACCCTATCTGAGAAATGAACTAAAAGCAAAAGGACTGAGGCTGTGACTTAAATCATAGAGTGAGTGCAAGGCCCCACATTCAAATTCCATTACCTAGGCTGGCCACCAGTTGCTTGTACCCTAGTTTCCTTACCATATAAGCACCTACGATGCATGTAGTTAAGATTGAATGAATTAAAAATCTGCCTATAAAATGCTTAAAATAATCCTTGGAACATAGTCAAAAAAAACCAACCTCAATAAATATTACACGTTCTTTATTACCTTTTTTCCTCTCTTGCTAAACTCAGTAAATAATGTAGTTACATGAGCTATAGAGAATGAAATCTGGTGTTCACTAAAAGTATTTATTGCAGACAATGTTTACATATTTGAAAACAGGATTTTATTGGTTGAAATGAGCAAAGAAATAGCACTGTCTTGCTTCTGTCTCTGCCTCTGCTTTCCGCACTTCCATCTCTCCCTGTACCAGTCTCCCCTGGGTATCATTGCTTCTGGTGAAAACAGTGCTCAACAAGTAATGTGCTGTCTATCTCCACTTGGTGTGCTTCTTTAAAAACCAAAAATTTCCCCCCTAAGCCCATGGAGCAATTTAATAGACAGATGTTTTTTCTCTAAGATTAGATTTCTGCACATTTTGTGTGTGTGCATGTGTGCATGCACATATTCTCTGGTACAGTAGCTTGAATATTGGCACTTTGCACTAGCTAGGTTTGCTTGTTCACAGCTGGTGCTCCACCACTTGAATCACGCTTCCAACCCAGTTTTTGGTTGGTTCATTGGATATGGAGTCCCACTGAGCTTTCTGCCCAGGCTGGCTTTGAATCTCAATCCTCTGGTGTGAGTCTCCTTGAGTGGCTAGAATTATAGGCAGGAGTGACAAACACTCAGCATCTCTACATATTTTTTTTTAGCTTAAACTGTTTTTTAATCATTGATGTTCAAACAGTACAAAAAGTATTCCATTTCCAAGATTATGAATCTGCATTTGCTGTTTATTCCAAGTTCACTCTAAATAGGTGCTTGATACCTGAAGGCTCCAGATCTTGTTTAAGGGCAGGAAAAAAATACATTTCTATATTAACATAGTTGTAGGACAAAATTATAGGAAACTGTTCACGTAGATTTTAAGGTCCCTGAGTGTCATTTTTCCCCCCAATGCAAGAGAAACATTTAATCTAGTTTGGCAGTGCATGTCACCCAGCACAGAATTTGGGATTCTGAGACAGAAGTATCACGAGTTTGAGATCAGTGTAGGTCTATAACTTCTAGCCAGTTGAACTTACATAGCAAGACAGTGTGTGTGTGTGTGTGTGTGTGTGTGTGTGTGTGTGTGTGTGTGTGTGCACGTGTGTGTGTGTATGTGTGTGTGTGAGAGAGAGAGAGAGAGAGATACTGAAAGTATGAATTACAGATTTAAAACAAATTGCTTCCTTAAGTCTTAAGCTTGCAAATTGCAAATTGTATTCTACTTACAAATCACTTTAGAGATGTTTGAGCAAAATAATAAACAATAATAAACCTTCAATTGTCTGGCAAAGATTTCCTTGTTAAGACTTCAAACTTAGCCATAAAGAAGAATAAAATCCTGTCACCTACTGCAAAATGGATGGAGCCAGAGAACATTATGTTAAGTAAAATAAGCCAGACACAGACAAGAACTGCATGTTCTTTGTCACAGGATGAAGCTACAAACCAGTTGACCTGAATGTAAAATGGTGGGGCTTAGAGGTTGGGAAGGAAGGGAGAAGAGGAGGGCAGATAGAGATTGGATTTGATCCACACATGCCATATGCACACATGGGGTTATCACATTGAGCCCCATTAGTTCATACAATTAAGTCATGCTAATTTTTTTAAAGCTGGTGACAGCTGGGCATGGTGGCACATGCCTGTGATCTCAGCACTCAGAAAGCTGAGGCAAGAGGATCATGAGTTTGAGGCCAGCTTGGGCTATAATACTGAGACACTATCTCACCCCTTCCCCCCTAAAAAACCTGTGGTAAAGTTAATGTTAGTGGCAGTTCAAATAAAACAGTTCTGTTTCATTTTTTTTAACAGTACTGAGAGTTGATCCTAGGGTCTGGCATATGCTAGGCAATTGCTTTATCACTGAACTATACCCCCAGCAATAAAATCATTCTTAGTGGTAGATAGCAAATAAAAGGAAAGTATTTAGAAGGTAAAAGGTGATTGGACAGAAACATTTTTATGCCTTTCAATTACAGTCAGATATGGCTGCAAATGCCTATATTAAAAAATAAATATTCTCTTGCTCTGTCTCCATTTTTCTTTGTCTCTATTTCTCTCTCTTAAATTTCCTAAAACTAAGGAATTTAACTTATAATACTAGTGAACGGACATGCTTTAATATTCACGGACTCTTTACTGTTCTAACTTATCGTCTCAGTTTAAATTCAGTTACCCATTTTAAATTAAAATCACAAATTTAATCTGTTAAAAACCAAATATGCCAAAGTCTCTTAAACACAAGCAGACATGTTTTGTTTGTAAATCTGCCTCCAAAATACAAACGAGGTAGGTTTTATTTAGTTTACCATCTGCACAGCTCCCGGATCTCACTGGAGAATGAAGGATGCGGCGGTAGGAGACACGCAGGCCAAACCTCAGTGTGGGCAACTGTCTCCCATGCCACATGGAGGCCACTACAGTGGAGGCTGTAATAGAAGTGAATGCAATCTGGGGCTGGTTACAGCCAGGGGACACTCCCTATGCCTGTTTGTTGGGGTAGGTTTTGACAGATTTCAAACTATAGACAGCACAAAAAATTATTTTAAACTGAAGGCCTGTGACAGTCAACAAATGTGGGAAGAGGTTTGTTGTTTTTTCCTCCTCCTCCTCCTCCTCCTCCTCCTCCTCCTTCTCCTCCTCCTCCTCCTCCTGCTCCTGCTCCTGCTCTTCCTCCTCCTCCTCCTCCTCCTCCTCCTCTTCCTCCCCCTTCTTCTTCTGAATTTCCCTTATCTGCCTGAAAGCAGGAGTTCTCTAAAGAACTCTGCAGTCCTAAATCCCCAGCACAGGAGTTACAGGACCAGAAAAGATGGTTCTTATCATTAGAGAAAAGTCAGCACTCAGATAAGAGATGGCCTACACAGACTGACCCAAGACCAGCTTCTCCTGCCTTCTATCACCCTTCCAAAGACTCCATTCCTGTTATATCTTTTCTTTCTTTCTTGGATAACTAGCTAGCCCACCACACCCAGCCACTGGATGAGATGGAGTTTCAGGCAGTTTTATGCCCAGGCTTGCCTCAAATTGCAGTTTCTTGATCTCTGCCTCCAACTAGCTAAGATGATAGTCTTGAGTCACCATGCTTGGCTATGAAAGTGTTTCCTTTTCCTAAGAGTATTGGCTTGCTTCTCCATAAGTGATTTTTTTCCTCCATCTTCTTAAAAGGATGACATATGACTCAACTTCTCTCTGTGAAAGACAAAGTTAGGAAGATCACAGTTCAAGGGTAGCTCAAGCAAAAAGTCACTGAGATCTCATCTCAGCAAATAAGCTGACCCTCATGCCTATAATTCTAGCTACGTGGTAGGCATAGATAGGAGGATGGATCAGAGGCTATTTGGGGGAAAAATAAAAGAAATTATCTGAAAAATAACCAAAAGCAAAAGGGGATGGGGTGTGGTTCTAGTGGTAGAGCACTCCTGTCACAAGAATGAAAACCTGAGTTCAAAACCCTAGTACCACCAAAACAACAACATCCAAGTCCTTTGAATCGCTTTATGTGTTTTTACATGTACATGAAAAAAGTGTCTTTTCTCAAGATATCAGCCTTGTGTTAGGTTAATTCAGAAGCTTCCAATCCCTAACCTTAGTAAGGTGGAAAGAAAACTGACACACTTGGTCCATATAATTATTTAATGTATCCATTCACTGCTCTTTTCCTTTCTACAGTCATTCCCAGTTTTATACAAACATGCTTTTATTTTCCTATTATGATTTATTTTCATCTCACTGGCCACCCTACTCTGCTATGGCAATCACATTCTGACATCTCCGATGCCAATTTCTCCTTTCCTTCCTACCTTAAATACCCTCCATATCAGCTTTGACCCCGACATTCCCTGATTACCCATGGAAACTGCTCTGATCACCCTGCATCTCCAGTATCTATTGATCACACAGCCTGGGCTGGTTATAAAATGCTCTGTTGTTATGTATTAAATAAGTCATGCTTCTGCCCACTTTTTAAAAATTCTTCTTACATGTTAGAATTGTTTCTCCAGACATTTGAATGGAATTCAAATGGTTCCAGGGTTTTGAGAGGTGTTCTTATTTTGGTTCTGAGGCCAGGCTAACCACAGACACAATTGTGTGCCAGATAATATTATGCATGCATTGTAAGCAACCAGGAGGTCACCATTGCAGAACGTTGTGAAATAGCTCCAAGGAAGGGTATTATTCCATGTCACCCATTTATCTATATGAAACTTATTTGATATAATATGCAACTGGCCCCTGCAGGAAGATTGAGGTCAGATCTTTTATACACGTGCGCAAAGCACACAAACACAGCCATGCTTATCTATCCACAGAGAGGAGGACGGCTGTAAGGATGTAAACTTTTGAAAGAATGTTTTGGGCTGGGAATGTAGCTTAGTGGTAGAGTACTTGCCTAGCATGCACAGAGCCCTGGGTTTGATTCCTCAGTACCACATCAACAGAAAAAGCTGGAAGTGGTGCTGTGGCTCAAGTGGTAGAGTGCTAGCCTTGAGCAAAAGAAGCTCAGGGACACTGCCCAGGCCCTGAGTTCAAGCCCCAGAACTGGCAAAAAAAAGAAGGAAAGGAAGAAAGAAAGAAAGAGAGGAAGAGAGAGAGAGAGAAAAAGAGAGAGAGGGGGAAGAGAGAAAGAGAGAGAGAAAGTAAGTCTTACTTCTGACTTCTTTCACTTACTGGCATACTATAGACGTCTTTCAATACAATACATCCAGTAGAGATCTATGGTCTTTGATTTTTGAAGACTTCTAATATATATATATATATATATATATATATATATATTTTTTTTTTTTTTCCTCTGACACTAGGCATACATTTTCAAAGGTAAAACCAGGCGAACATAGGAAGTAAATTTTCCTCTATGACTCTCTCCCACTCACTCACCTGTATTCCCCAGGAAACCACTATTCCTCATGCAATATGCATTTTCTGATTTGGGGATGAGGCAGGAATGATAGAGATTGAACCAGGGCTCCACATATGCACCCTACTGAAAAGCTGTGTTGTCACCCCCAGATTTTGATATAATGTGTAACTATAGAAAGAGGTATGCATATCTCTTTGCCTTTTCTTTGCTTTTCTTTTATGTCTGAGAATTGAACCCAGGGCCTTCTACATGTTAGGTATATGCTCTACCACTCAGATACATACCTAGCCCTGTAGGTTTTGTTTTGTTTTTTTTCGGTCGTGGGGCTTAACTCTGAGCTTGGGCACTGTCCCTCAGCTCTTCAGCTCAAGGCTAGTGTTCTACCACTTGAGCCACAGCACCACTTCTGGTTTTCTGGTGTTTTATGGAAGTCTCACGGCCTTTCCTGCCCAGGCTGTATTTGAACCGTGATCCTCAGATCTCAGCCTCCTTAGTAGCTAGGATTATAGGCCTGAGCCACCGGTGCCTGGCTTGCTTTTACTTTTTGATTAGTATCTGGTAGGATATTTAGCCTTACATGTTCTTTTTTTCATTTGTACTTTTGAATTCGTTGGTCTGCTTTAGTCTGTTTTTCTGTTTTGGCCTGTGGGGTTTTTTTTTTTAAGCTTTCACATACACATATCTGCATTTGCTTTTTCACTCACATATGTGGAAGATGTTTCTACTCACTTTATGTAATTGATCTCATTTTGAAAATAGCTGTGATGACTCTAGCATATGAATGTATCATAATTGATCCAGCTAGTCTCTATGGCTAGACATTTAGCAATTATTTGCCATTAAAATCAATTTGGCCTACACATACATCCTTCTGTCCATGTTCAGATTTTCATTTAGGACACATTCAAGAAGTCTGCTAGGCCAAAGTGTTTGATACATTTCAAATTCCAGTAGTTAGCTGCCAAATTGTTCTTTATATCTGTGACAATTTTCAGTTTCACCAATGATATATGAAACTGTTTCCTTGTTCTTTCATTGAAACAGTGTATCCCACACACTCTTAACACAATGGGGTTTAGTAAGGTCTCACTTTACATTTATCTTATTATGAGTCAGGTTGAGGATTTTACTTAGTTCTAAGAGCTACTTGGATTTCCTCTTCTGAAAACTGGTTTTGATTTCTTTCTTCTTCTTTTTCCTTCCTTCCCTTCTCCTTTTCTCTTTCTTTCCCCCTCCTTTCCTTTCCTCTTTCTTTCTTTTCTTTCTCTCTCTCACCCTTCCTTCCTTCTTTCCTCTCCCCCATCCCCCATTTTGTCCAGGCCTCCTCCTCAGTGGTAGGATTTGATGTGGAATTCAGTTTATGTCTTTCTACTAGGTTTGTTATGCTGCTGCTGCCGCTGGCCCCCGTCCCCCCCCCCATCCCCCCCCCCCCATCTTCCTCCTCTTCCTCCTTTTTTGAAGTCGTGGGGCTTGAACTCTGGGCCTGGGCACTGTCCCTCAGCTCTTCAGCTCAAGGCAAGCACTCCACCACTTGAGCCACAGTGCCACTTCTGGTTTTCTATGCTTTATTGGAGATAAGAGTCTTACCGACTTTCCTGTTTGGGCTGGCTTTGAACCATGATCCTCAGATCTCAGCCTCCTGAGTAGCTAGGATTACAGGCATGAGTCACCGGTGCCTGGTTTGCTTTTACTTCTTGATTAATATCTGGTAGGATATTTAGCATTACATGTTTTTTTTTTTTCCATTTGTACTTTTGAATCTGTTGGTACACTCTTAGTACATTTTAAGTAGCTTTTAAAAAAATACTAGAGATCAAAATGTTTATAAAGAAAAGGGGTATATTTGTCTTACATTTTTGGACATTGAAAATCCAAGGTCAGGGGCTGGGAATGTGGCTTAGTGGTAGAGTGCTTGCCTAGCATGTAGGAAGCTCTGGGTTCAATTCCTCAGTACCACATCAACAGAAAAAGCTGGAAGTGGTGCTGTGGCTCAAGTGATAAAGTGCTAGCTTTGGACAAAAGAAGCTCAGGGACACTGCCTAGGCACTGAGTTCAAGCCCCAGGACTGGTTAAATAAAGAAAAAAAAAGTTGAACAGAAAAAAATAGAAAATCCAAGTGCAAGTAGTTCCATCTGTTCAGCTTTTAGTGAAGGTCTTCTTAATGAGTCAGGTGGAAAAGGAAACAATCTTATGAGAAGGGGCCACACAGGGGCGGCCTTGGTTTAGAACAACTTTCTCTCAGTACTAATGCAAGGAAATATATTGCAGGTGATCACTGAGTGGTAACCTATGAATTAGCCACACCTCTTAAAGATCCCACTTACTTTCAACATTGGCTCACTAGAGCAAATTCTTGGGAGTCAAACCACATTATGGGCTGGGAATGTGGCTTAGTGGCAGAGTGCTTGCCTAGCATGCATGAAACCCTGGGTTCCATTCCTCAGTACCACATACACAGAAAAAGCCAGAAATGGTGCTGTGGCTCAAGTAAGTGCTAGCCTTGCGCAAAAGAAGCTCAGGGACACTGCCCAGGCCCTGAGTTCAAGTCCCAAGATTGGCAAACAAAACAAAACAAAACAAAACATGTTACCATGATAACTTCAAAAAATTCACTTTTATCAGGACATGTGTGTTACCTGTATAGTTTAAAGGAAATTGACATTTCCATGTTTCTTCCTATATAAGGCATGCCTTTGCATTTATTCCAGATATGAAGTGGATTTAAACAGGTATACTTCACAAAGGTGGTGATTTGGGGAAAGAGGGTAAGAACAGAAGCAGCAACCCAAGTGAAGTGGTTCTGCCAGAGTCTGGGAGAGCCGATGAGCACAGCTGAGCGTGGGAGCCATGGCACATTTGGGATCTGTCTAGGATGTAGAGCAATTCACCGTTGCACGAGAGAGAAAGATAAAGGGAAGAATCAGATCATGCCTGAGTTTTCAACTTGAGCCACTGGGTGGCTAGTGATGTTGTGAGTCAGAGGACAACAGAGACTCCTGGAAGAATGACTTGCCTAGAAAGGCAGACCTCAAAGCCCAGGGAGACTGTCCACAAAAGCTCTTTCTAGAAAGCTGTCACTGACTAGAACCAACTATGTTTATTAGGGCCTGCACTAGCCCACAAGGCACCTTTGTGTGAATTAGACAATGGTGACTTTTGGGAAAGATAAGGGTGCATGGCTTGTTGAAGAATGACATAGACTTTAGCTTTTTGCAGTCTGTGAACAACCTGTGCAACTGTGCCTGGATGTCTTGGAACTCATTCATTTCTAACTGGGGCTTCTGGCTCAACAACTCCTATGAAGTATCGTCCTGCTGTTTAAGCTCAGCCTACAATGGCCCCTGCCACTTATGTCTATTGATTTCTAGATCTACCAGTCACTATCAGTCTAACTAGCTGCTGCTTGGTTAATTACACATTGGAGTAGTTTCAAAACTTTGATTATAATTCATAGAATAAAACATGTCTTTAAATCATCTTAGGTACTATAAACTTGAGAATCAGATATCAATTTGAAAATGGCCTGGTCTATTGGAAAATAAACTAGTTGTATGATACAAGTTTTATCTTCAAGATTATTAGTCTTAAGTGAGTTACTTTGGCTAAATCACTAGTTTAGTGCCTCAACGTTGACCCAATCCCCAAGCCTCTGGGGGTTCCCTGGCTCTAAGTGACACTTCTCTAAAGAACTACAAACTTACTCCTCAAATGTAGGTGCTATAGGTATTCTGATGAAGTCTGTGTTCAGTCTTCCTTTCCTTGTTCATATCCTGTACCTCCTCCATGAAACAGCAGACTCAAAATACCAATGTCCACAACAGACTCCCCCAGCCCAAGGGATTCTCTCCTTAATTCTTACCACCAAGGGGATTTCTCAGGTAGGTTTCACAAATGAACAGTGGCCCACCATTCCCACCGGTCCTTGGTAACTGACAATCCCCCACTTCCTTTTCACCCAATGAGTTTAGATGTAGGCAATGGATGCATTCATGCCCAACCCAACTATCCATCAACCAACTTAGTCATTTCTCTCCATCCCACTAAGAATAGCCATAACTGAAGCAGGGAGGCAAACCCACAATCTCCATCTGACCTACTCATAGCTAAGAGCAATCCCATCACTCCACTGGAGAAAGCAGGCTGATAGTCTATCAGCCTGGGCCTTGTCTTTCCTGCTTCCTCAGGGACTCATCCATCAGTAACCTTGCCTTTCATTTCTCTCCATCTCTCCATCAGTGCTTTAGGAACTCTTCCTAAAATGTATGGGGATCTCTATTTCAGATAAAGATGGCTTAGAGGGAAAAGTTGTATTTCTACCATTTTACCTCATTTCAGTCACAATTATTAAGTAATAAACATCACTTTAGATGTGCATTGTGTCTTTAAGAATTTGATCTATTTTCCCAGCATGCCTTGCTCTTCTTTGCTCTTCTACCTCTTCCTTTTTTGCCCAGTTGGCCTGAGCAGCTAGAATATTATCAAGCAGGTGCGATCTCTTAAAGCACCAACATTATTGCCCTAACAGATTGTAAATGGGTCAGTCAAGTGCAGTCTCCAGGAATGGGAAATTCACAGCTTGTGCTCCCAATCATCCCTCCTCCCCACAAAGTAACCCTACTTGGTTTATACCTTTCAAATAGAAATCTAAGTGTCTTAGAAAAGTTGTCTTTAAAACATTCTTGAGAGATTAAACAGGTGTTCTGTGTTCTCGGCGTCTTCAGTTCATGAAGTTGTTTTGTGAACTTAGTCAATCTGGCAACAAAATAAAGACAATAATCCAAGCTGGGAGATGATAGTTTCTCTTCCGTGGTGTTTTAGAATCCTGGAGGCAGATCTAATAAATATTCAGCAAGTGATTAGTCTGTCCATCCTCGGCGCATCCTTTGCATACCCACTGCCAGCTACTCTTTCACAGGCAGTTTTACTTGGTAATTTACAAATGTTCTGTCTGCACTCTGCACCTGCCAGCATGGCAGCAATTAGCTGGGGGATGCAAAATGATTTCTAAATTAAGGTTCCGGACTTGTAAAATCAAGAAAGCCTGATAATCAACATTGGAGCTCTGATGGCTACCGAGTACTGAGATAAATAACTAGGAGGAGTCCTACTAGTGCCCTGCGTGCGAGTACTTATAGTGCCTGATTGTGCCTGATAGTGCCTGACCTACAAATTGGACCTCTAATCAACACGTGATGTGCAGGTCAAAGATCGAAGGTTGGCAGGAGGTTGTGTGAAGTTATTTAAAATCGCTCCTTCTTCACTCGCCTGCACAAAAGTGGAGAAGGTCTAAGCATGATTGGAGCATCCTCGATTAGAGTACATGTTAGCCAGTAGGTAAAACCTCAGACAGGTACAGGCTAATAAAAGTGGGCATCATGCCCTAGAATTACCGGTATGGCCAGGAAGCTGGGGAAAGGGCCACCTGCTGAACACGCGGACAGGGAGGAGGACGTGAGATCAGGGAGTCTCATTCCGGGACTGGCCCGGGTGGCACAGAACTTGGATGCCTGGAAGGAGAAAGCTAGGAGGCGAACGACCAAGCAACCCAGGACAGAGCAGGAGAGGGCGGAGGAAGATGGGAAGAGGAGGAGGCCGGGGAGAAGAGCGGAAGAAGAGGAGGGGAGGGGGAGAGAGGGTGGAGAGCGGGGAGGAGGAAGGGGAGGGAGGAAAAGGGAGGGAAGAAAAAGGCGGTGGAGGAGAACAGACCCGCCCAGCCGGCTTCCTCCTCCGCTCACTCCTCCGGCCCTCCCCGTCCTCTTGCTGCTCTCCAAAAGCGCGAAGGCGTCGGCCGTCCACCCCCGAGTCCCCCGGCGCCCTCATTCCACCCACCAGCGCAGCCCAGCCCAGCCGAGCGCAGCCCAGCCCGGAGCAACCCAGCTCCGCGTCCCGGCAGCTGGTCTCGCGCGCGCCCCCGCTCCCGCTCCGGGCGCGCCCCCGCCCCGTCCCCGCGCGCGTCCGCCTCGGCCCTCCAGCACGCGCGCCCGCGCACTCCGAGCATGCGCAGTGGGCGGCGCCGCTCGGGGCCGCCTCGCCGCCCAGAGTAGGAAGCGCTAGCGCCGGGCTGTCAGTGAGCGTGAGGCGAGCGAGCGAGCAAGCCGAGCGGCTCCGGCTCCGCTCCGGCTGCAGCTTCGCTCCGCGCCCGCAGGACTGTGCCCGGCCGCCGCCGCTCCCGCCACCGCCGTGGGTGCGCTTCCCCTCGGCGACCTCGGCCACCAGCCCGCGGCTGTCGCCCGGGGGGTCGCCCGCGGCCCTTCCGCGCCCGCCCGCCCCCGCCCACCCCGGCCCTCCCCGGCCGCTGCTCCCCGGCGGAGGCAAGAGGTGGTTGGGGGGGACCATGGCTGACGTTTTCCCGGCCAACGACTCCACGGCGTCTCAGGACGTGGCCAACCGCTTCGCCCGCAAAGGGGCGCTGAGGCAGAAGAACGTGCACGAGGTGAAGGACCACAAATTCATCGCGCGCTTCTTCAAGCAGCCCACCTTCTGCAGCCACTGCACCGACTTCATCTGGTAGGTGCGCGCGGGTCGGGCGCGCCCGGCCGCCCCGCGGGGACCCCCGGCCTCCCCGCGGCCCCCGGAGGGACGGAGCCGGGGGGGGGACGACGACCGGGGCTCCAGCCCCCCGCCCCCCAAGTCCAGGCGCGTCCACTCCCCGGCTGACTCACTCCGAGAACTTGGAGAGCCGGCGGGAGTCACCCAACTCTTGCCCGGCATGACACGCGGCGCGCGCGCGCCCGCCCGCGCGGGGCCCCGGCCACACACCCTCCCTGGGCAGGACTCCCCGGGACGTCGCCGCCCCGCCGCACGCCCCCAGCCGCCGGGTGGGTGCCGGGGGCGGGGGTGGGGGGGGGAGCTGGCCGGGCTTCCCTGGGTCCCTTCACGGGGCCGGGACTTTCTCTCCCCCCCGCGTCCCCTCAGCCTTTCCAGGCTCACCACTCCCCTCACCCCTCCTTTCCATGGAGACAGTGCGGAGGATCCTTTAGCTCCGGTGTAGGGCAAAGAAAAAGAGTCCCGAGGAACCGAGAGTTTCCTGGAGGAACACGCCCCGGAGTAACGGGGGAGCGGCGGGCACCGCGCTGCCCGCCCGCCGTCCCGGCGGCTTGGCGAGCGGGGCTGGGCGCGTCCTGGGCTGTGTGTTTGTGTTTCTCATCGGGGTGGGACTCCACGGGAACCTTGGGGCGCTGCCTACTGTAGGCTGTGTCTGCTGGGCAAGCAGACTTTCTCTTCTCCGGGCGAGCCTCGGGAGAGAGTGGGGGGGGGGGGGGGAGAAAGAGAGGTGAGAGGCAGCAAACTGTTGAAAGCTTGTCGTGGGGGGAGGGGGGTCAACACGGAGCAGGCAAATGGCGAAGGGCAGAGGGAGTCATTTAAAATAGACCCTGTCAACACGAGATTAGACCTGTAACCCTGTTGGTGAGGACAGAGGGCTTATTTAAGAAAAATACTGTAATGGCAAATGGTGCCAGAGTTCAGGTGATTCCCAGCGAATGGCAGCATTGTGAACTCGAGGAGCTGGTTGGGGGACTGGTAACTGCGAAGACTTCAGGGGCCTGCGAACCCTGCCACACTAGGTGAAATTGTGTGCACAATTCTCTCACTCCTCCCTTCCCCCTGCCCCGGTGAAAGAATTTATAGCTTTCATCTAACTGTGTGAAGGTCACTGCCCCTGCCCCTTCCTCCATCCCCAAAGGAAAAAAAAAAGTTTAGAGATCTAAAAGTAATGGAACTCTGGGTCTTCAGTTTGCATAGCAGAATTCCCCCCCCCCCCCCCCCCCCCGTTTAGGCACCTTGTCTCTTCTCTTTTTTTGTGGGACTAGTAAGCTCCTTAAAGGGTGAGCTATGGCTTCCTTCCTTCCTTCCTTCCTTCCTTCCTTCCTTCCTTCCTTCCTTCCTTCCTTCCTTTCTTCTTCCTTCCCTCCTTCCCTCCCTTCCCTGGCTGTGGAGTCGCAGGTGGTGACAGCGCTGCACTGTACCCTGCCACCAGCGGTGGTGTGGCACATGTATGTTGGTGGAGTAAAGAGAATGGAGAGTTCTGTCTGATGCATCCCATCTGGAGGAAGGCATCTCCAACACAGAGTCCCGTGAACACAGTACTAATAAAGTTCTTAGTTCTCCCCTTTCCCACTCAAAAGTACACGTTTATGAAAAGCCCAACTCCCTCTAGGAGTGATTTCCACTGTGCAGGCAGCGTTTGAAGCCATTGTGCTCAAGGAATGGGTAATTGTAGATAAGGCTATTTAAGTTGAGATTTTTTTTTTGAGCATCAGTGCAGAGGATATTGCATTTTGGATAAGGATAGCTCTTCAGCCTCTCCTGTCAGCCCAGAGACTGACTGCTGATTGCTTTTTCGGGCAGTGGGAAAGTTAGAAACAGGGCAGGCTAACTAATGCCAGGCCACTACCATCACCCTGACAGACTGAGTAGGCACTCAGGTCAGCAGGTGGAAAAATAAAGGTTTCATCTCTTCCTCCTCACTGAGCAGCCCTCATGCCTCTGTTCCTCTTAATATGAAAGCCAGTGCATGGAAGTTTCCAGCGTATCTCCACCAATAATATAGGCTTGCAGTTTCATTTTTCGATTTTCTTTCAGTATTGCTTCTATACGTTCTTGATTTATAGTTTTGTTAAAACTAAATATTTGGAGTTAAGTCTAGATTTTATTTGGGGTGGGAGAGTGAAACAACTCTTAAGTTATACCTTTTGAAGCACTTTGCAAATTTAAAATGGTATGTAAAGCAAGAGTTATGACAACCTGAACATTTTAATGCAGTTCATTCTGGTGGAAAATGTTAGCAATTGAATTTCCTCATCAAGGTTCTCTGCTTATGGAGTAAGCTCTCTAAAGCCATTTATAAGAACAAAATAGCCTCTATACGTGCTTCTGATGCTATTGGGTCAGTAAAAATTAGATCCTGATAATTTCAAATGCAAACAGTAGAAATGATATTTCATATATCTGGTCCCTTTTAAGCCAAAATTAAATGTTAACAATATTGCTATTTAACAGTTTTTAGATGTATAATGTTTTTTAGATATATAATTTTTAGACATTTAATTGTGTGTGTGTGCGTGCACACACGTGTGCGAGTATACATGTGTGCATGCACGCATGGGTACCGCTTTTGATTTAGTGCTCTACCACTTGAGCCACATCTCTACTTTCAGCTTTTTGGTGGTTAATTGGAGATAAGAGTCTCACAGATTTTTCTGCCTGGGCTGGCTTCAAACCTCAATCCTAAGATCTTAGCCTCCTGAGTAGCTGTCACTACAGGTGTGAGCCACCAGCACTGGACACACATGCAGTATTTAAACAAACTCATAGCAAGTCACGTTTTAGTTATTCTTAGAGAGACAAAAAAATTCTCTTTTTTGGAACAAAATTACACCATTTCCTTAGTTAAAAAAAGTAAAAAGCCATAAGCCCCTTTTTGTTACTTTAGTACTATAGCCAACAACTTCAAATATGCAGTCATATTCTAGTTTCAGGCTTAAGTATGGGCAATAGCAGAAGCTTGATATGTTGAAATAATTAAGTGGTCCATGATGGTCAAGATACTTTTTCAAAGTTGAATTAGCACTGTAATCTAACAAAATGCTTAGGAATGGCTTTCCTCTGAAGCCATTAGATTTTATGTTTAAAGTCTTTAACACTGTTGAAATATTTGATCATATGACTTGCTTACAATGTCTTATCAACACAAAATATGCTAAGATGTTTGTTCTTGTTTCTGTTTTCCAGGGGGTTTGGGAAACAAGGCTTCCAGTGCCAAGGTAAGCTGCCTCTGTGGTCTTCATTTTCATGTACATGAGTGTTCCAAACAGAATCTGTATTTCTAGTCATCGTTTCTTTGTGATCCACAAGATACGCTGTTTAGATAACATTTTCTAAATATGAGGTGTGTAAATTTAGGCCTTTAAAAAAAATCATACGCATTGCCTAGTAATCTGTACACAGAACTGCCTTTTTCTCATTGAAGAAACAAAGAAAGGAAAAAAACCCCATCCTGTAATTTTACTTTTGCTGAGAACATTCTTGTCAGAAACTGCCGTCTTTGTGTGGGTGTTAAGAAAAAAATGGAGTCACTCTATATTCATGTGGCATTTCTTTCTTGTTCTTCCTTTTCATTTTTATTCTTCATCTCTTTTAGGCTGTACATCATACTAATGAGGTTTTGCTTAGGTTACCAGTTGTTGGCCAGAACAAGTTTGCACATTTTAGGGTTTGCATGTTTTAGGGTGATGCCAGTGGTGTGAGAATGACTGACAGCTCCAGTATTGGTGGTGTGACGCACTTTTCCTTCAGCTTAAGCATCCAACACCACATATCCATAGCACCCAGAAGGAAATCAATTCTTTTTCCTCTGATCTGAGGTTGCGCTTTACTGACATTGAGTGTGTAACTTTTCATACTCTCCAGTTTATTTGTATAACTACAGAAACATTTTATAGTTTGCAAAGGCATTGCAGTCTCATTAGGTTACTTCTTTGTTCCTCTGCTCATTGTCTATAGTATGTTTATTTCATTCTGGTTACATTCCCTGTCTGGGCATAGGTTTATTATTAGGGCAAGTGGAAAGTACATTCTAGCCTGGAGAATATTATCTTAACACTGTTTAAAATTAAGTGCATTAGAGAGAAGGAGAGGTGATCCAGTGTGTACTTTTATAACTGAAGTTGTTCTAGTTAGTTGGTTACTTTTAAAACATTCCTGAAATTTGTGAGGCTTTTTTTTCATATACATATTAGATGGGGCAGATGGGGTGGGATCATTTTATGGTGATGATCATTAACCTGCTATATTTCTTGCTTCCAAGGTATACCTCAAATCCCCCCCCCCCTTTTTTTTTCTCACCTGTCCTGGGGCTTCAACTCAAGGCCTGGGCACTGTACCTGGGCTTCTTTTGCTCAAGTCTAGCACTCTACCGCTTGAGCTACAGCGTCACTTCCAGCTTTTTCTGTTTGTGTGGTACTGAGGAATCGAACCCAGGGTTTCAAGCATGCTAGGCAAGCATTCTACCACTAAGCCACACTCCTAATCCCCTAAAATCCCTATTGAATGAATCATTTTGAGAGTTACATTTGGAAACAAGGAACATTCCATTTACTTATTTTTATGCTAGTACTAGGGCTTGATCTCAGCCTTTACTCTTGCTTGGCTTTTTCTACTCAAGTCTGGCACTCTACCACTTGAGTCACTCCTCCACTTCCTGCTTTTTGCTGGTTAATTGAAAATAAGAGTTTCTCAGATTTGTCTACCTGGGTTGGTTTCCAACTATGATCCTCAGATCTTAGCCTCCTAAGTAGCTAGGATTATAGGCATCTGGCTAAAAAGTTTCCTTTTAAAAAGAAGAGAGAAATGCATGTCTCACCAGTCTCTATAAGAGATGATAGTCAGATATTTCCCTTTTAGGCCTGTGGGCCTGGAGGGAAAAACTGGCAGAGAGTGAGGGAAGGGATGGCATTATCCCCCTGCTCTAAAAAAAATGCACTTATTACCTGACTTATGTAACTGTGATCCTCTGTATATCGCCTCTATAATAACAAAAAAGTTTAAAAAATAGTTATGGGCCTGAAGTTTGTAAGTGAGATTTGGGTCTAGGGTTGAAGATGATTTTAGGAGGTTGAAAGATGTGAGATTCTGGGCCAATAGATTAAAGTCAGGCATTTGTGGAAACGTGTAAGAAAGGTATTTACTTCGTTTTCTTAAATATTACTTGATGAGGAAAATTTGGGAATGTTATTTTTATTGTATCATTTATTTTATAAAAACATGATTTCGAGTAGGATGGGTTTCTCTTACAGCCACTGACTTGAGAAGGTTTTATTGATAAAATCAGAGTAATAGATTATGGGGGTAAGCTATGGCTTCCTCCAGAGCACAGATTAATAGTCTCATATCAGCACAATTCTCTTTTATGCATATTTAAGAAATGACACTCAAAAGTACTTTAAACTGTGTAAAATAAAAAGTGAAACTGTATTCCCTTTTCTCTTCCTACTCCCAGGAATAACTTCTGTTCAAGACATTCATTCAGCTGGGTGTGGTGGCGTATGTTTGTAATCCCAGCACTCACGATGCTGAGGCAAGAGGATCTCAAGTTCAAGGCCAGCCTGGGGCTACCATAGAAAGTTTGAGCCTGGCCTGAGCAACTTAGCAAGACCATGTATTAAAGAAAAAAAAAGTTGGAGGCATAGCTCAAGTGGTAGAGTATTTGTCTAGCAAATGAGAACTCCTGAGTTCAAATCCCAGTTATCCTAAAAAAAAAAAAAAAAGGCATTCAATCAGTTATTCACACATACTTCATTTTTCAAAAGAGAGCAGATTTTCCCATCATATTGGAATTTGCTTTTTCTTCACTTACTATACTTGTATGTCAGAATATCAGTTGTTTCTTATTCTATTTAGTGGTTCCTGGGGCAGTTAATTCACCCATACTTCCACTGATGGGCATTTCAATTGTTAAGAAGTTCTTTCTAGTACAGAGAGAGCATCCTCAGACACTAGTTTTTTCTACCATAGATCTTGAGAAGTGTATATGTCTAATTTAAATTTTTAATGAGCACTGTGAAGTTGCTCTTCTAAAGAGTTCCAGTTTACATCTTCAGTATTAATGTGAGAGTGTTCCTTTCCCTACACTTTTGATAGTGAAATTGTTGGGTCATGTAAGTCTTACATTTTTGCCAACCTAAAGCTAGAAAGGACCTCTTGTTTCAGTTTCCATCTCCTGGTATTGGTGAGGTTGAACATTAAAAATACTGTACTTCTAGTCATTTGTATTTATTCAATGAACTGCTTTCCTTTCCTAATATTTGAAATTCAAGGTTTACAAAATGGAAAAATAAGAGAAGGGAGTATATGTTTTTATACTGTGCTTTGGTGAAGGATTTAACCTCAGATTTCTTTAAATAATAAAAATCAGTTTATTTGTAACATGCTGTCTGCTTGTTACATTTTGTTTGGCATGTATCATCTGTATTTAACTCCTAATGGGCATATGTTAATCCATTATATCTGATTATTTGTTGTAACTTCATTAAGGATACCTTAACTGAGGATAATGGTTAAATTCCACAAATACAGTTACCCAGTATTTCCTGTTTTGACTGCTTTCTCCAAAACAATCTTTTTCTTAACATCTGATCATTTTAGAATATTTATGTTTCTCTGTTTTTCTTTTTGTCAGTCCTAAGGCTTGAACTCAGGGCACTGCTTCATTTGCTCAAGGTTAGCACTCTACCACTTGAGCCGAGCCATAGCGCCACTTTCAGCTTTTTCTGTTTATGTGGTATTGGGGAATCGAACCCAGGGCTTCATGCATGTTAGGCAAGCACTCTACCATTAGGTAACATTCCCAGCCCCTATATTTTTCTCTTAATGTTGACTTTATTTTTCTCTCTGGTTTTGTTTATAGAGTGTTATTCAGGACAAAACTCATTCCTATCCATATCACCCCTACCCCATGGAGCTGAAGTTTGAAACTTTTATGTTTATCCTGTATCAGAGTTCTCTTAACCAGACAAGGCAGAATTTTATAGCTACTGAGATAGGATGTTGCTTTGGTTAGTAAATAATCCTGTAGCAAGTCTACTTTTTATCTTTTCTTTCCCTTCCCCTAGTATTCCCTTCTCTCCTATTCCTTTTCCTTCTTTTCTTCCTCCCTTCCTCCCTCCTTTTTTTTATTTCTATATTGTCCAAACATGACCCACATGTTCATGTAGTTAGTGATGAAGCTGTATAGCTCTGACATATTTGTCACCATTTTAATCAGAGAATAATACGTTGATAAAAATAATTGTCTTAACCATTAGCAACAAATTTGTAATTTATGCCATTAAGAAAGCATTATATTTTATAGGCATGTGAAATGCTAAGATTATTTCTTGCTTCTTTCCTTCCCCTTGATTTAACACAAATGAATGTAGGAAACTTTTCTAGAGAAGTGCTTATTGAGTTATTTCCACTTTCCCTTAGTAGGTGCTATGCCATTCTTATTTATATTGCAGTTTAGGCATATAGCCCTGAATACTGATATTATTAAGACAAATAATTCAGAAGGATCTTGAATGTATTTTTTAAGGTTCTTAGAGATAAACAAGTTTTCCCTTTGTAGCTCTGAAATGTCTAGTTACATGGCTCAGATTTGCCTTTTGATTTTTGCTTAGTGTTAGTTTTGCATGCGATACTGTTTCATCTCTTTAAGACTAGCAGAGAGTTGGAGTCCTTGCTCCGTTTATTTATTTATTTATCTATTTATTACTTTCTACAGAAAAGGAAGTGTTCTAGGCATTGGTATAGTTGAGTTTCAAGTCTGGAAGGCTGCTTCTCAAGCTGTAGTGTCTGTCTTGCACAGGCTGCTTCCAAAAGCAGTCATTATGGGTCAGCATGGCCTCATGTACTGCTCATATGTTCCTGTCCTCTGGGGCAGTGGAGCTGAAACAGTTATCTGCTACTTTTACTACTGGCAAAGGGAATGAGCCAACTCGGTTGTTTTCCCTCCTCAGAGTCAGCAACACCCATGTGCTTCTCTAATTACAGTGGTGGAATCAGCCTCTGAAAATGTGACCTGCTTATTTGAAGCGCCAAGCAGTTACTTGCATACTTTGTTACATCTGGCTCTCCTCCTGTGTTTTCCTTACTTTTTTCTGGCTCTGCTCTTTGGTTTAATATCACCAATTGAAATGAGCTGCTAGCCCAGGCTCTTTGGTTAACATACCCCCCCTAAAGAAAGCAGCTTAAGCAAGTCCTACCAATAAGGAGGGTCACCAGGAGCCTGTGGCTCTGACTGGTCTGGGCTGGACTCTGCAGAGGTCTTCAGGGAATGAGTTCCCATCTGCTGCTTCTGTGATCACACTGCAGGGCAGTTATGAATCTTGTCATTATTTTCTTTATTATTGTGAAAATACCATGCAGAGGGATTACAATTACATGGACAAGATAGTGAGTACATTTCATATCAAGCATTGTTGCCTCCTCCTTTGTTTCCCCATTCCATCCCTTTCCCTTTCCACCCGGAATCTAGTCATTATTATGCTAAGAACACACCACGTGTTGTATTTTACCTGAGATTCCAGCCTGATGGTCTGAATTTTTTAGTAGTTAAGGGCAAAATAAAACCCCCAAACCAAACTTCTTTGCTCCTGACACTTCATTAAATATAATTTTATTGTTACTATTAAGGCATTATTCAGTGGGGTACTATTTCATGGGCCAGGTAATGAGTACAGTTCTTCTTGGATGATGTCACCCCCTTCCTTCACTTTCCCCCAGCTCTCCTTTCCCTGCTGACAAGTTGCATAGTTCATTTTTCAAATAGTGTATACTGAATACTATGATTGCATTTGTTCACCCTTCTTCCCTCCATTTCTTCTTTTTTTTAAAAAAAATTATGTTCTTGTAAAGATGCTGTACAGAGAGGTTACAGTTACATTAGTAAGGTAATGAGTACATTTCTTGTTGAGCATTATTACCCCCTCCTTTGTTTTTCTCCCACAATCCCTTACCTCCCTTACTGTCCTCCCCCTCCCAAAGTTGTAAGGTTCATTTCCAATATAGTGTCTTGTGAGTATCATTGTTGCAATGTCCTCCCTCCATTTCTGTACCCTACCTCTTCTGCCCCCTAAAAAGACAAGAAAAAACTTAAAAAAATAAACCCAGACCACCACCACCACCAACAACAAAAAATCCCCCATGTTTCCATTTCTTGTTTTAGGGTAGGTACTACCATCAGCTCATGTGGACAGGGTGAGTTTTGCTTTCTTAGAGGAAAATGAAAATTGGCATTTGAGGGAAGAGGCAGAAGAGAAGAATGAGGTAGCTCCTGAGTGTGAGTGAAGGAAATGAGACTGGCTTAAGGGAAGGCAACTTTTAAGCAGAAATAGGGCAGTGGAAGTTGGATTTGCAACCTTTTAGGAAACAGGATGTCCAAATGTTCTTATCTGCCAACTGGTGTGAGCATCAAGTGAAGTACTAGTTGGGCAGAATTGTGAGGTTGGCCAGAGTATTTATTTTTCCTGCATCTTTTCTTTGTCCATCTGTCTGTCTATCCATCCATCCATTTGTCTAAACATTGGATGGGTAACTTTCTAGGTTGTAGAAATGTCTGAAGGAGGCACTGTTCACCTAATGCCAGTCATCACACTTTTGAACCCCAGAGTATCTGATCAGCTTTAAAGTCTCAGTGATCATTGACTCCGAGCTGCCCAATGGGTTTGAAATTGGTGCCTGGATTTCCCATCATCTATCTCCAAAGCAGGGATTTATAACTTGGTACTTTATTTATCCATGGCCAAATTAGAAGTTATTTTAACTATAGATAATCCCTTTGGAGCTATAGTTCCCAAAAGACAAAATCCATGCAAGAGCAGGTAAAACTTGAAATCCTGAAGGCTTTGCACCAATGTCAGGCCCAAATATAGTGTTAGTCTCAAAATTGCCAAGGATGCCTGAAGCTCAGAGAAAAGTGCAGTGGAGGTGAGCAGGTACAACTTGTTTTCTTCTCAGTATCCCCTTTGCTATATAAATATACTGCTGCATGTTAAAAGTAAAGCTACTTAAACGGGGTGTTGGCGGCTCAGTCCTATAATCTTAACTACTCAGGAGGCTGAGATTCACAGATTGTGAAGCCAGCCCTGGTAGACGACTCTGTGAGACTTACCTTCAATGAACCACCAATGAAAAGCCAGAAGTGGAGCTACGGCTTCACTATGGCTCTATTTTTGCTAGCTTGAGCAAAAATGCTCTGGAACAGTGCCTAGGCCCTAAGTTCAAGCTCCAGAACCTGTGCATGCGTGTGCATGCGCGCGCGCACACACACACACACACACACACACACACACACACACACACACACCTACCTACCTGCTTGTCTAGAACTGTTGTCAGATATTCCCATTCAGTGCTCTGAACTCATTCTAAAATAATTACTGATTACAGGCTATGCAGTGATTATTCATCCTATTAGGCAGTGGAACCTACTAAAGATTAACTTTGGCAGATAAATCTCACATATATAAGTTCTTTTTTATTGTTCCAGGACTGGGGCTTGAACTCAAGTGTCATGTGCTCACTTGGCTTTTTTGCTCAGTGCTGGTGTTCTATTTGAGGCACACCTGTACTTTTGGCTTTTAGTCCCCTTAGTTAATTGGAGATCAGGGTCCCATGGACTTTTCTGGAGCTCAGCGCCCTGAGTATCTAAGATTACAGAGCCACCACTGTTCAGTGTTTCCTTTTCTCAAAGTTCATGGTGATGTGATTTCCTGTCCTCTAATAAGCATGTCACCCTTCTAGATATTGTCATTCAAGTTTACATTTTTGGACACCACAATCCTTAGTTTGTGGGTGTGCTTTCCTTCACACAGAATCAGAGTGATTTGTTCTTAAAATATCATTAATTTCAAGCTGCCCCATCAGGATGAATTTCAGCTCCTTAGTGGGACATCGGAAAGCTCTTGGCTCTTGCTCTGTTTCTTCAGGCTTACCTAAGGCGGTTTCCCTTCTTATGGTTCTTTGGTTATTTTGTTTTGGTTCACTGGGAATGTTTCCTTCATTGTGACACCTGTTTCATGTGCAAGTCTTACTCCCTAGTTTAGCTCAGGCCTTTCCTGAGCTTCATGCCATTCGGGACATGCTTTCTGTCTTAGAACCTTCTCAGCTATGACCTCTTTACTTTTGTGTTTCCCATGCCAGTCCATGTGCAAAGGACCAATTTTTATTTTTTTTAATTTTTTATATTTTTTTGTCAGTCGTGGTGCCTGAACTCTGGGCCTGGGCATTGTCCCTCAGCTCTTTAGTGCAAGGCTAGTGTTCTATCGCTTGAGCCACAGTGCCACTTCTGGCTTTTTCTGCTTATGTGGTGCTGAGGAGTTGAACCCAGGGCCTCATACCTGGAAGGCAAGCACTCTACTACTGAGCCACCTTCCCAGCCCCCAATATTGTCTCTTTACGTTGTGTCCCCAGAGTTCAGTACAGTTCTTGGACTCGGTAGCCACTATGTAAATATTTGTTGGGTATGTGATTGTATAAA